AAAATGAAAAATGAATGCATCCTCATGAGCTTGGTTACTTCTAGTGGAGTGAAACATTTAATAATCATTGACATGTTAGATAACTCTAAAAAATCCATTTTTTTAATTTGCAGAAGTACTCTGATACTTCTTACACACTGGTTATTTCATATAACACCCCTTTTTAGAGTTGCAATGCATTTTTTAACATATTCTGAGCCTTTGCATCCAATATAAAAGGTTATTATTTAAGTGGAACTTTGTTAGTTAAACCGTATTATTGTGAGCTTGTTGGTTTCTCTTAATGGCATTGTTTCTGCACTTGATGCTGCTCCTTTATCGCTGGTACCTTCCTGGATCGATTTGAAAGGATGCATGCAATGAAATGTTTGATGGGAATGTTTAAAAAATACCATAATTTGTTAAAAATTCTGGACAATCAATTAACCACAGGTTATCAAATTCGTAAACTTTGCACTTTCATTGTTGTATTGGTAGCCCTTTCGAATATCTCCTACCATTCCATAAAGTAACAATCAATGCTTTTGATTGTTAATGAATGTAAGATTTATGGCCATCATTTGACAGAGCAAAATTTTAATGCTCTACTTTTTTTTCCCTTTTTGCAGGAAGGATGCAAGGGTCTGTTGTATTTCGTACTTCATGCCCGTGTTGTTCTAGAATTATGTGAACATCTTGAACAGGAAATTATGTGAGCAGGTAGAAGGGGACTTTGATTCATTTCAAGGAAAGTGGATTCTAGAGCAATTATGAAGTCACCACACACTACTGAAATATAATGTGGAGTCCAAAATGCACAAAGATACATTCCTTTCAGAAGCTATTATGGAAGAGGTATTGAAATATACTTGATCCGGCTTTAGACATTGTAAAATGTATTTTGTCTCTCCCCATGGTTTTTTAAGATTTTGGATATAATTTCAACATATAAATCTCTGGGGTTCCATCTGGGCATGATAATGAGTGCGTATATATTTAAAGGCCTTCTTCTTATGGAACAAAGTATGTTTTGGCCCACCGAAGTAGACTTATGGGTTAGATTTGGAGCAAGTTTAGACTTCCTCATGAATTGAGCTGTCTCATTTTCTTGTCAGAACTTTAGGTGTAAATATTTCATTGTAAATGATTCATTTATGAAATAACAGCCACAGGTGCACAATTTCACAACTCTGATTGACTTATTTGGAGAATAAGTTTGTACTTAAGTTTAAGTTTGTATATAAATTTAAGTTCGTATAAATATAGAATCTTAGAGGAGAACTTTGTCTGTATACCAGTTATGAATCCGGGAATCGGGTCATAATAGCTTATGTATCTCAGGATACACAAAAATGGCTCATGAAATTTAAAGATTTGGACATTGATTGGTTGATGAATTATGCAATCCTCTATTCATCTCTCATTCTCTCTTTTAAAGCCTCTTTGCCAGAGAATTCCTTTGATAACCAGATATGCCAGTTTCTTTCCTTTAATGATTTTAGGGTAGAGAGGGGACAACTCAGTTTACTTCCTTGATCCCTGGAAACAATTGCATACTCTAGCAACGGAAAATGGGAGTAACAATGTCTAGGGTTTCTGAACAGTTAGACCAATATTTACGAAGAACGCAATCAGACTCTGTGACTGCTGAAACCTTTGTAGTTTTCTGTTCAAAACTTGTATTACATCACACAGGTATGCGTGAACTTTAAAGCAATAACAAAAATGCTTGATAAGCGACATGATTGCTACTAAACCCCAAATTCTAGAATTCACAAACTTTTCTTAAGACTCGCGAAATATTCAACATCCGATGGAGAGAGCCAGAATTACAGGAGTTCCCAATCAAAGCTTCATCGACGGCTGCAAGATTTCCATTCTTGTATTATTTCTGCGACTTCGCTTTCCATCACTCCTGTCCACTTCACATTGTTGATGATGTTCATCGAATTGACACATTTGAACCTCAAACAAATCATGCAGGATATTCTGATGCTTCAATAATGCAAGATGAATGTGACACTTCACCACTACTCTTTTTCAACATGTAAGCATGGATCAGATACTGCTCATGCTGAAGTCCTCGGTCGAAGCAGGTTGTAACGAACGTATCTTGATAGCATAAATTCTGGCACCAGATAACCCATCCCACATGGTTAAATCTGATGGACATTTACCCAATCTGAGAGAGGAGGAAGACTAGTTCTCTTTTTAAGCATTTCCAATATGATTTCCGCATTTGTAACAAAGAAGCTTGGTTCTTCGCTAGAACAAACCCCAGGAATGCATGGAAGTGAAGGAAGGTGCGCATCGAATTTCTTCAATTTGAGTGAACCTGGTTTCATCAATGCTGAAGAACGAAATAGTTCTTTTCTTTATGGATTTCTTATAAATAGCTCCAATAACTGGGGTGTTCCGGTTGCACGAGTTCAAGTTTAATTGATACCTACAAGAACCACAGCTGCAAAAGAAAATTAAACCATAAGAAAATGAGAGCAAGAAAAAAGAAAATAACAAGAAGCAGAAGCCAAATTAATTGGTGTTTTCTTTTTCTGGCAAGTTTAGTCTTAGAGTCATCAGCAAGCATTCAAATTCTTTTCCATGAAAGCAGGCTTTTTCTTTCTTTCTTGGAAAAAGAAAAGACTACTTCAAGCAAACATTTAAACCCAATCCAAGATTCCATCTTGAAAACGTTCTTGAACCAATTCAATAACAACAGCAGCAGCAGCGTTTTAAAGAACTTTTATGCAAGGGAATTGGTACTGGGTTGGTTCAGGATAAATTGCACAAAGACAAAAACATATAAACTTAAATATATATATATATATATATAAAAAAAACCAAAATCTCCAACCCCACAATGTAAACATCATAAGATTTTCAATCTTGATATAACTTAGAGTTTCTTGATGACTCAAACAAATTAGACACCAGTATCAATAATGGATTTTTTTTTTTTATCATCAGTCAAACAAAGTATAGGAATCCACAAGGTAAGTATAAATAAGAGCAAGAAAGAGAAAAATAAAGAGACCTGTAGTTAACGTGAGTGATACTGGGAGACAATGAAGAAGAAGAAGAAGAAGGGCACTGAAAATCTTGAATCTTAGACAAGTGTTTAATGCCCCTCTTCAATGCCGTCAAAGAAAGAGAGCGTGTCCAATTAAGACACAAGAAGAGCTTCAAATGCGGCTCATGTTTTTAAAATAGCTGGTGCCACGGTCACCTCTTCTTTAATGCAATGTCAACGGTAACTCAAAGGAGTGTGCTGTAACGGGGATCGTCTCCCGCTTGGATCTATTTGAAGTCCATTAGATATATTATGAAACAAGTGGGTTCAGAATCTAAATAATGTGATCAGTGAGTAATTTTTATAAAGACTTGAGTTCATATATTTAGATTAAAATACCGGGATTCTTAAATTTGGATCTATTACATTAAATGTTTAAAATAGTGATATGTTGTTGTGACGAAGAAACATGTATTTATGTATATTTTGAAATGATAAAAATTTATATTAAAGTTGTTTTCATATCCTTATTTTTCTAATTAAATATATTTTTGTTCATTTTATATTTATTTATTCTATTTTAGAGCACTAATCAAAAGCAATTTAAGCTAAAGAATAAAATTGGAATGTAAGAGAATGTTTGTTTTGATATTTGTGTTAGTAATGTTTAAGGTGAGGTTTTTTTTAAAAACAAAAATTTGGTCAAAATCTTATATGTTTGATAGTATAATTGAATTTGAGTATATTTATTAATTCAAGTATTAGAAATCGCAACTTTGAAGTAATTGGAAGCACAAAAAGTAAACTAAAATAAGGTTAAATCATAAGAATTCTAAAACTTTATTTTATTTCTAAAATAATAATCTCACTAAATCTATTTTCAGAAAGATTTACAATTTCTTTTATAGGTAAGAAAGATCAACATAGACTAGAATCCTAAAACATAAAATCTAAAATAAAACAATAAATTTAGAAAAATCTAGGAAAAATAACAAAATTGGTTCAGGGAGAATCTCTAAGTGATTCCCCTGTAAAATTAGATATCCGGAATCTCCTATAAACGTTTGAGCCCAATTCAATTAGTCAAATCTTATATTATGGCTTTTTTTAGTTATAGCCCTGGTCTAGTGCGATTATACTTTTTCTTTTTCATTTTTTTATATTTATATATATTTTACTTGTTCATAAAAATCTATTTTAGGTCATTAACATAGTTTGTTTATGGTAAGCCATTATCTGTGTGCTCAGATTCCATAATTTCTATGAGTTTGGTTACATCAATCTCCTTCAGACTAAATAATATATTAAAGTTATATTTTTTTTTATTTTTTGTGATCTTTTAAAATAAAAAAGGGTGGAAATAAAACTATTCGTTACTTAGTTAGCACCTTGCAATTTTATTAATAGTAATTTTGAGAAGCTTTTTAAAGGTCGACATGAGTTTCCATAACTTTTTTCAGAACTATTTTGAGTTGAATGAAGCAAGGAAAATATTGATGAAAACACTTGGCTACTGTCCATACACAGTTTGTAAAAATACATTAAAAAAATGTGTGCATTAAAAGTCATTTATCACTGCTAATTTCTCTCATGATTTTTATTCTATATGTTCTAGCTCTGTCTTTTTATTTGTTCTATTTTGTTTAATATGTTTGTAAGTATTTAGAGTATATATTAATGGGTAAATTATAAAAAAGAAATTCTGAGGCATCAAAGAATTAGCAAACCATTTAAAAATTTTAAAATTTTGTCAGATGCCTTTCATATTTGATTAAATATCACAAAAACCCTCCTATCTTGTATCTAAAATACTCTTAATATTTTTAAAATCATTCCATTTAAAATCAAGTACTTATTAGATTAAAAAAAAGGTTTTTTTTTTTGTAATAATATCTTCGAAGTTTTGATGTTTTATAATTATGATACCTCAGGAAAATCGTTGTAATTTATCATTTATTACTTATATGTTTTTACTAATTTTACATAATGACCTTCGAAATTGAGAATCCAAGAGATGCTTCATGTTTAAGAAAATTTTATACTATTGAGTTGAGTTTGTTTGTACATGTTGCTATGTAATCTTATTTCAGGGTTTTTAGCCGGGGTTTCTTCTTCTTTCTGGGAATTCCTAGTTTAACACGCCCTCTGTTGGGCAGCTTTACTCCTCGTCGATGGCTCTGAAACATTTTCCACCAATGCTTATTGTCATGGCCATTTTGGACTCGTCCTAAATGGCGTCCGATCCCGCCTTTGGAAGGCTTTGATTTCTTTGAATGTTTAGAATGCTTCATCAACCCTTTAACCAATTCATGAAAATGTCCAGCCTTATGCTTCTTGTTACTTACCACTACAGATTTTCCGAACTTCTCAACTGCTTTTTTCTGATATGCCTTATCATTATGCTTCAACTCTTTGTTTTGAAACATCTTGTGCAAGTTCTTCCACATGGATTTGGTGGGGGCCTTCTCACCATCATTGTCATCATGATGATGGTGGTGGTGGTGATGGTGTTGGTGGTGGAAAATGAGTCCCAGCTTGTTTTTTAGCCCCCTAAGTCGTCCGGTTGCTTTCTTCTTATGGCTTGGTGATCTGTACCTCGTACTTGGTCCCTTTACTCTAGGTGGGGGATCCCCACGCTCATAGTAATCTTCAGGGTCCTCATCGCTGCCTCTGCTGCTGCCTGTTGTCTGCTGCTGACTTGTCCAGCTGTAGGAAGAGTGAGGACTAGAGCTGGAGCTGGCTGTCTCGTATGACTTTATTGCTGAGCGAGAGTTAGAGCTTGAGCTGGCTGTGGCATCTGACAATTCTGGTGAGTGGGGGTTAGAGCTAGAGCTAGCTCTCTCATCTGACAAGTCCGGCAAGCGACCGTTTGAACTTGAGCTGGTTGTCTCATCTAACTCTTCTTGTGAGTCAACATAAGATCTCTTTGGGGTGATTCTGTTGCGAAAATCATCATAATCTAGCAGTGTTGGCCTTATAAATGTCTGACGAAGCAGGTTTCTTTTGTGAGATGGCACCATTGACCCTGCAGAAGGAGGTATTGATGGTACAGATGGCGTGGATTTTTTCTCCAGCCGAGCCAATGGATTCCGCAATGGAGTGTCTTGCCGAACATTCATACTATGCATCGAGGACTTCTTGACCACATCACCCTGACTCGGGGGAACCTGTAACCCACTAACATACTGACATGTTTGATAGTTCTTCTGACTCGATGCTCGATTGAGTGACTCAATTCTCTCAACAATTCCCCTCACATTCTGTCTCTCTGCACGGTTTGTTTCTCCCATTGCAACTGAACCATCTCCATTTTGTCTCCTAGCACAGCTCATGTCACCCACTGCAGCTGCACCATCTCTTTGTATCGACTGCATTTCAGTTCTTGTCGATTTATCCGCCATGGACAAATTGTGGACAAAAGCTGCACTGTTAGCTTTAAGTGAATCTGCATTTTCACCATAAAGCTGCAATGATGGGGAGGGCATTCCAGATTCACTAAGTTTCGTTGCATTTGCAACTTCTTTAAAGAAATTACTTTCTGAATCCTCTCGATGCTTATCAATTTTACCAGATAAAATTTCAGGTCCTAGTTTAACAGACTTAGAACCCAATGAACTTGAGGCCCAAGAAACGGAACTTGTCACACTTGGTTGACATTGAATTTCAGAATTTCTTTTGCGTCTTGGCTCTTCACTGAAAGTCACTGCTGATTTGAGACCCTTCAGTTTTAGCTCATGCGATCCTTTTGGATTCCCATTAATCCAACAAGCCTCATCACGGTGCTGATCTCTTTGATCACCATCTTTGTTTAAATTCTTGTCTGAGTTCCGCTGCTTCATGCTGCTTTGCTTACAAACCCGACAGAATTTTTTTCTACCTTCAGGTTTTTTTAATAAGACACTGAATTTGGAATGCTCTGACCCTGAATCCTGAGCTGTTGGCTTAATAAGTGATTGCTCATTTTTCCATGCGCTGTTTACACGTAAATTTGTCTTAGCATTTGAACTCTGAATGGTACTTGGAGAAGCATTCTCTGCATCGGGTGAAACAGGAGGTTCTAAATATGGCATGGTCTTGGGCTGCACTGATTGAGAGGAGTAGGGTGTGTTAGACACACCTAATTGTGCTGCCACTATGATCTGTGATTTCAAAACATCAAACAAAGTCAGATGGCAACTATTGGAATTACTTGGATGTTATTTTTCCATACCAAATTTGCAACGGGGAGCACTCAAACTCAACTAGCTAAGGTTTCATTTTGTAACTGTTGTGGTTACATGTCAGAAACTAAACTTGCTGCAAGTAACTTCAATCCATATATGCATGGAGTTCCATTTTACCTTTATTTACCTTAATAAGCAACTCTTAACATTTCATGTAGCCTTGAAAAGCATAATTGATGCCCAATTTACTGTATCACCAAAGCTGTAATTCATTTGACAGAAAGCACAAAATTGACAAAATCTACCTTTGAATAAGCCAATAAAGCCTTCTCTGTAGCAGTATCTAGCAGATTCTTCAAAAGCACTCGTGCTCTCTCATCCAACTGTTCAAAAGCAGACATTAGTAAAACACAAGCTAATATTTATCATTTCCTTCATTCTCTTTGCCAACCGTTCGAAAGAAATATCAGAGTAAATACTGACAATGCAACCACTAGAGAGAAAAGTGAAGCACCTCATGAAAAACAAGTTACATAGAGTATGAGGGACATGAGAAAAGGCAGCAGTGCCATAAGTCTTGATTGGCATCCAAGAATAGCTTAAATAGAATTTCACAATACTATTCAACTAATCAATCGCAGAGCTGCAGAGAATCTAGTCGCTTCAAATGCAAACTCTTTTCTATACATTCTAAATACCAAAGTGATTAGCTTAATCGCAGAGTTTATAGTTGCTAAGTACAAACTTAAGGGGACCATCCCTAATTTGATTTCTTCCTTTCTACGCATTCTCTAAAGAATTTGTACATTTAACTCTTGGAATCTAGGTAAAGGACAACCATATATTTTAAGACAATGGCAATGGAATCCACAATCAACTTGCAGTTTTTCACAACAGGGCATATCACGATCAATCCCTTGCTAATCCCTTTGTACAGTTGATTCCTATGATGGAAGTTGCTCTAGTTAATTAATTAAATGTCAATGGTAGCGTACCTAATATTATTTTTAAAGTATTTATTACATATCCAATGTTGTGTTTAATTTGTTTTCATGTATCTTCACGCAGTGCCCTTGTATGCAAGAGAGTGTGGTTCAGCGTGCATCAACAAATGCTCTAGAAAACCGAGACTGGAACTTGAGGTCCTGAACAATAGCAGAGATGAAAACTCAGTAACGTTGTTCAGAGAAAACTTACAAAGCCTGCCATTTGCATACCATCTGGACTACCTTGGAGGAGTCCATATAATTTTCTCAAGGAACAGATATCAGAATGCACATCTTCGAGTTCCATCCTGTTAACATTAACAGTCTGCAAAAGCAGCATTAGAACAAAATTCAACATCTAGTACTTGCCAGGAAAAAAAGGAAAGAAAAGAAAAGAAAAACTTTGACATGCTTATAAACTTCCCATAAGTTCTTCTCCCAGAAAGACGATTGAAGAGAGTTTGATTTTAGAGTGAGAGAGTTTGCTACTTTGTGTAACTGTCACATCGGCAGGTCATAGATTTTATTTTATGGGCTAGGAAGTTGTCAAAACTTAAGATTTTCTCCTCAGAATTAATTAGAAATTGAATGTTCCAACAAAACAAACATGCGAAACCCAAACAGTGTCGCAGAAGTAACAATTGTGCTGGCGAGGCTAGTCAAATGCTAGCTCCAACATGATGAGAAGGATTATGTTCCTTACAAGCAAAAACTGGATTAAGATCAACGGCATTCCTTTATCCATCAGGTTATCTACATGGCATGACAGAAAAGCACAAACATATATACTGATACTCAAACACAAGCTAAACGATGACTACCATTTACTGTAATCCTCTCTTAAATTTGAAACTATCCCTAGAAGAAAAGGAATTCCCTAACATAATGAATTCAAAAGCTAACTTCTATGTCTAAGGTAAAGAAGCATAGGTGCTCCTGTCTTAAGAGGGTAATTAGTCTTAGAACTACCCTAAATATAAGATTATTCTCACAGAAAAATTGTCAATCGGCATCAGGGTCACATCGACTATCCATACAAGGTAAAAAATAATGAATACATTTGAACCAACTTATTTTTAAACACATTTGAACTGCCAACTTCCAGGATACTCCAATTGTTGAGAGTAATTTTTACCAACAAGCAATTCGATATCATCTATTAAAAATGAAATGGATAAAGTAGTGCCTAGCCTGATTGATACCTACAAATGATCCTAAAATTCTTGATTCTCCAGCGAGTATAAAGGGTTCAAATCCTTGCAAAATACCATTAATTATCTTCACATATTAAAAATACCAACAATTGGTTCCTTGAATGATTATATTAGATTAGATGCACATACATGATGCAAAGAAATTTCCCTTTAATTATCTAAAAGCAAAAAATAAAACAAGGGCAGTGATAATAACATTAACAAACACCGCCATCAATTCCAAGCAAGAAACCATGAGAGAATCAAAGTAAAAAAAAAAAAAAGACACAGTGTTCATATATTCATCGAAGAAACCAAATAACATCATAATAAGTAGATTTCAAGAAAACGGGAATGTGTAGACACCAGCATTATTGGATTCTGGTAATCAATGTATGCACCACAAAAAAAAAAAAATCCCCTACAGAATGCATATGCATTTGTTACTGTGATTACAACTCTGACATGCAAACAATGAAGTAAAAAGAGGGAGGAGGAAGAAGAGGGCTTACATTTAAGAGCAGGGAAGGGAGTAGTACTTTGGCTTTGAATGGTTTCGCTCTTTCCTCTGCTTCTTTCCTTTTGTTTGGGAATTTTCAGTGTTGTTGGCGGTTACTTGGACTTGTCTGGTTTGATTCTCTTAACGTCTTTTCGTTTTTTTTTTTTTTTCCTTTTCTTTTCCTCGATGCCATTTTATCAGCAAAACAAGAGCAAATTATTATTTAATCCTTGGGTTTTTAGTGAAATGATTCGTTAGTTTCTCTGATTTTAAAAGTAGCATCTCATATTTATTTCTTTATATTCTTTTGTAACTTATTTCATAGTAGTATTTAAATCAATTTCTTTTTAAAAATTAAAAAAAATCAGATATTTAATATATTTAAAAATATATATATAAATTATGTAAAGTTTAAAAATATATATATATATATATAAATTATGTAAAGATTGATCAGATATAATCCGTTTAACTTAGCAAATCCAAAAGTAATCAAGACAAAAGAATTTCAAAACGATATTTTTATTTAAATATTGAGATAATATATTGAATCAATTTAGATTAACGTATAAAATTTATAAACTAGATCATGAGATCATGATAATTTTATAATAAACAAATCAAAAAATATATTGAAACCAAATTCTCAATTAATGAAGAATGAAATTAATAAAAAAAATCAATTAGAAGGAGGGAAAAAAATCCAAATTAATCTATAATAACTTGTCAAACCTAGATTATGAAATCGAAATAACTAAATGTACAACAAATTAAAACAAAATGAAACTCAGTTCTTAATCAATCCAATATTAAAAAATAAAATTTGAAAAAAATAATTACAAATATGATAGAAAAATATCCAAGTTAATTCAGTTTAACTCATCAAACCCTTGACTTTGAATATAAAACTAAGATAATCTCTTAGAAAGCAAATTAAAATAAATTATAAAGTTTAATTATCAATCAACCTAAACCTAAATGGCGAGAAATAAAATTGAATTACAAAAAAAATACCTAAAAAACTCAAATCAACTGAATTAACCTGTGAAACTCATGAATCAAGTTACAAAACAATAATAATCTTATAGAAAATATAATTATCAATCAACCTAAACCTAAATGGTGAGGAATAAAATTGAATTACAAAAAAAATGATCTAAAAAACCTAAATCAATCGAATTAACTTGTGAAACTCATGAATTAGGTTACAAAACAGTAATAACCTTATAAAAAACAAACTAGAATAAATTATGAAGTTAAATCCCTAATAAATCTAATATTAAATGATAAAGTTTAAAAAAAATTATAAAAACAAAAACTAAACTAAAACTAAAAACTAAAGATATTGTTTCAATTGTGAGAAGGGGAATAGTGATTTCCCCTCCTCGGTTAGTTCTTGCTAATGTCAAGTGTCATTTATAAAGTGTGAAGCAGTCACCAATTTATAAAACCGAAGAAAAAAAGAACTACAAGGGGCGGGTTTTGGGGAAAGAGAGGAAGGGAAATTATTAATACCAATACTAATATCAACACTAGCCGTTCTCAAAATTTAAAAACTAATATCAATAAAATCTATCCTTATCAAAAGTAAAAACACTACCGATATAATCAACACTTCCTAAAGCTTAATTAATTATTCCTAAAATTAAAAAACTAAAGATTTATTAATATCAACGGAGATATAATTATTTGTTCCTGAAATTAAAAACTAATGATATTTACCCAAACAAGAAGTTATATTAACCCTTTCTAAGTTAACTTCGCAACTGTTGCAGCAGCAACGAATAACGAGAAAATTTCCTCTCTTTTTTCCTTTTTTTTTTTTTTTGTTAGGTAACAGGAACTTGATAAAACAATGTTTGTGGGTAGCAAAAATAAATAGTGACATCGTGCCTCCAACTCCATACAAGATCTAGCTTTTAGCAGTAGAGGTTCCCGTGCAAAAATTGCAGTAAACTTTGCATTTTCATCGGGATAGAACGATATTTATATACCTACCCAATCATCACGTTAGTGCTTCGGTGCACCCAGAATTTTTAGTTAATGGGCAAGACAACAGCTACACCTCTTTCTGATGGAACAATTTGGCTTAACCTTCAATTTTCCTTCAAGCTCTGGCCAACAAATATCTTCAAATGTTGGTAGAACCCCCAGTGAATCAACTTCAAAATCTCAAGTGTGTTCTTCATTTGGACACAACAAAATTTCACATTTTTGAGCGCTTCAAATAAGTAACAACAGCAATGCCCGCTAAAACGACACCAGCTACAAAGATACCAGAGCGGAGAGACACCAATCCAATTCTCTGGGTGGCAGTTTTGGTATCCAATGGTGATGTTGTTTGATTGCTTGGATCATAATAGTCAAGATGCAACCTTAAAACCTGAGATGGAAAGAGATATAGTACACACCAAATTACAAATTAAGAATATATCATGTAAGCATATCATACAATTTCAAATAGAAAAATAGAAAAATAACGTTAACATTAGTGGCATCACCTACATAATAGCGGATAACAAGACACATCTTCAATATTTTTCTAATAAATAGGATTTTCAAAATCATCGAAGCATATCATGATAAGTGTTAATGAACATCCTACCATCTTAAATCATATAGATTCATCAAAGTCCAAACTCCAACCATACAGACTCAGCGCGCACATGAATCCTTTCCCAGATGTCATTTAAAACCTATTCCATGATCCTATACCTTTTAAAAGCTTCATATTGTAAATTTGTAGCAGCATATCAAACACGGGTTGTCTGTTACAATTACACCACCCATCACAATATGTTGAATAAATGACAGAAGGACTACTATGTTATAAACAAAATGCATTAAAATGTTATCAAACATTAGGATTCCCATGACATCGCTCATATTTATAGAAGAGGAGCTCTTGTACTTGGCAATAAACAGTTGAATAAAAAAAATTATTTTCGTAGTGTCAAACATGAATGCATACAAGATATCCATAGTTGTCAGATGTACACATTAAACAAACTTTTTTTTTACTAACAAAGCTCAACATTTTTTTTCTTTTCAATCTACAGTTATGGAGGTTAGCAGTGGAAAAGGGAAAGAGGGAAGAGCAAGACATAAGATATCGTGAATGGAAATGCTATAGACGGATCTAAAATCTCTCAATGTTGAGGTAAATTTGATTTATGATCAAGAAGAATGGCGTAGAAGGATCCATATAGGCAACCCAACCAGTACGGGATTGAGGATTTTGTTTTTGTTGTTGTTTGTTTGCTTGCTTGCTTGCTTGTTGTCGTAATCTACAACATAATGGGTGTTTGGCACCGCAGCAGCAGTGAAAAAAACACCTGGACACAGAGCTTTGCTACTTCTAAAAAAAATTCTCAAATGTATTATTCAACTAAAATCTATACACAGATCCACATAAAATAATATCAAAGTATTACCTTCAGTCCCACTGATCTAGCATGGCTGACAGCACCAATGAGGTCACCATCAGTTGCAAGCAAAACTTTATCACCGTCATCGTCTTCATACTGTAAAAAAGAAATTGAAATATGCTAAATAAGTCACGAAGATATTAATAGAGAACATAAATTAAATTTGTATAATTAGAAGTCCATCTTACCAAAAGTTGGGGTCGAACTTGCTCATTTTCAGCACCAATCCTTTGCAAGACAGTGGAAAGAAGCTCATCTAAATTCTCAGTGCCTGAAAAAAAGTGAAGGCAATATAAAACTTTACTTTTGGGTTTGAATGGATAACTTTTACAATATATATTCATACAAAAAAAAAATGGACCTGTTGTTTTAACCCTTCTATAATAAAATTAAAAAAAAAGGTAGTAAGTTGCTTCCTTTTTTTATTATTTTGCTTTAAGCTTCTGTCCACAATTTCTTAGTATATATCAAAGAATCATTCCACACTATGCCTATAGTTTGTGTACAATGGTAAAATACAAATTTTATTTTGTTCCGAAACAAGGCACTCTCAAAAACAGTCATCAATCACCACTTACAGCAATTGAGTCGATGTATGCGGCCCTTTAGATCCTCAAATTTGAAAGCAAATGAATTTCCAAGACCAAGTGATGGGTACCTTCCAAGTTCTGCCCCGTCTGATGCCATTAGTGCAGATATTTCACTGAAATCAACACCCTATAGGTTTAGTTACAGAACCAACTAAGTAACAAGGTAAAGTCTAAGTATGACAGCATTAGGAAGACCTTTGGGTGTCATAATCATCTGCTGGTTCTAAAGCAAGAGCAGAATCCCAGAACTTTTGCATCATTGTGCTGGCTGCATCATTAACAGCTCCAGAGCTATTTTCAACCTTGTAAAGTTTCAAATTGGCCAGTTAAGCGTTTGACAGAATGAAAATATAATATAACATAAGAAAAATGGCAGTAAGACTAATTTGTGCTTCAGTAGCATCTCTAAATAAGCAAATTTATCTTATTTATACAATTCATTTAGCAGTTATAACATGAAAATGGCTTTATCCAGTAAACAATTTCATTTTGAGCAATACAAGCAGCATGTGTTGGCATTGGTTCGACCCAGGATATGTTAGGGATTACAGTGGTGCAGTCCCCAACACCATCAAAAACACTTGCAGATGTTCAACCATCCAGTGCCAAGTGAAATGAACCAAAAATTAGGGACTGATGAAGGTTCAAGTATAGAAATGCAAGAGCTTCTTGCTAGAATGTCCATAAGATTAAAAATGCATATGAAGGAGAAGAATCGGTAAGTGGCTGTATTAATGTTAACGCACTTCACCATGTCACGGCTGTAACCATAAGCTTAATAAACAAACAATCAAGATGCTTGACAAAGAGCCAAGCTATACAACAAAACAGTGGCATGGTCACTAAGACATGGTTGTCAACTAAATTCCATAGCCTAGTGCTCGAGAGCTGGTAAAATGCTTTTTCACAAACTCAAGTCTCTACTGAACCAGTAATTCAGTTGGAAACAAAGAAAAGGCACAGAAAAAGCATCTCATGGACCAAAAATTTGTTTTATCTATGGCTGACAAATATTTCTACCAGGTATAAATTTTGAACATGTCTTAAAATCTCAAAGATGCTCCATCCCCACTGAAAATACATACGATTACTAGAAGCTGTATAAGAAATGAAGGTTACCATGGAAATTGCTGCATGAGTTATCTGCAGAACATCTACACATGCAGCAGCAGACCCATCTGCACAAAAGATGTTAATTAGATAACTTGTTAAAAAAAGAAAGAAAGAAAGAAAGAAACAGTTATAAGAATTGAAGTGAGTTACACTCACCTTTATCCAAGACAGGAAGATGTAAGAACTTC